TGTTTGAATTTGAAAAGCACTAACCCCGAAGACGATAAGTCGGACATAGAAAATCGATCGTTATACATATTGTAACGTCGTGGGCAGAGTACTTTTGTCGTTACAGCTATTATCACATAACAGGAAACTATAGTCAAATGACGGAACCGGATTGAAATGGGAAAAAGCGAGATATCTATTATTTTCGGACCGACCGAGTATACATACACGTCCTATATTATCGCCGGTCAATTGTTTTCGTCCGACGCGAATGCATATAAATGTTTACTGCGTCATCTTTGCAACCTATATATTAACATCTATCCAGCTCGAAGCACACGTGCAGATGACTGCGCTGACCGGTCCATGCTTTGAGAGAGGTCCCCCGAGATTATACCTATCTGCTATCACGGTATAGCTCCAATACAGCCCGGTCATTCTGGCCAAGTGTAACTAAATGTATAGAAATTTCTATACCCCTGTACGACGCACCTCCTATAAGTGAATTCCAACGTTTTGGAAGCGCTCGTAATTTCGTATAGTAAAATCGATACAGCCTTTTCAATCAACAGCTTTCGCGAGTGTACATAATAACAAGGCGTAGGTATTAAATATAGGTATCTATAGACGTGAAATTAAATCAAATTTCATACGTAAATTACATTTCGTTAGAAAAACACAGACGTATCGTGCCCGTACGAAAGAGATTAACGGGAGAATAACGATATAATTCAGCTTTCCTATATATAATATATTATTATATTACTATAGGTATATTATGTATGTTGTGTATACCTCGCCAATCGTTTTGCAATTGATTGGCGGTCTCAGAGAAAAGTTTGAAACACCCGCATAATTCGTCAGGTCGTACAGTAAATATAGTGTTTCTATAGTGGCTGTTTTGAGAAAATTGCAAGGGGGTGAAAGTGAAGGGACTACTGTGGCAGAAAAAAATTTTTATTGTTCTTTTGCCGAATACTGCTGCAATAGTCCAAACGTACCTAAATATATGTACTTAAATTTTTATTTTTATTCAAATTTTTATAACAATACTTATACTATAGGTATTGTATGTATTGTATGTTCACTAGGAAATCTACGAAATCCAGCATTGATAAAATTAAAAACGGTATACGCACCGTATTTCGGAGGTAGGTAAATACAACTGTATTAGGCTATAGCTCCTATATTTAATAATTTCGAATCTTATTTTATTATATATTGTTGGATGCTAGCGGGGTTTCCAGGAATAATAAATAATCCCTAAACACTGAACGAGATACAGCACTAGTGATAATGGAAACAGTAAATGGTAAGTTCTAATGGAGAAAAAAAAATCACCAAGAATGTGTGCCAGGGGTTGAATACGGGAACAATAAAGTCCTGCGGAAGCGCGAGTCCTTATAAACATGTATCTTTCTCTATATATACATGACTCTCGCCTCACACACACACACGCACACAGACACCACACTACGAGTGATTTCCAGAGAACTCGTATATATATATGCTGGTACTTATTTAACCTTAACCATTCCGCATGTCCTTTTTTCGTTTATACAAATGTCAACCGAATCGAAGCTGATTTATTTGGACTCGTCGATTTCTCCTCGCTCGCATTGTATGCCCGAAGTTCGGGCCTATATAAGCCGATTAAGAATAATAATAACAATAAATAAACGACCCATTGAACGCATTCATATATAATACACTGGTATATACATTATATTATATTATGTGGGCACTCCCTGTTCGTCATTATTTCTGTATTTTTTTTCGCTATACATCCGCGAGCGTCAACTCGAGTCGTACATTATGTGCATTATATTATACACGGTTTTGTGTTTAAAGTGAGAAATCTCGCTTTGAAACTCGCGGGCACCACATGTGTGGCCGTGTGCGGGACACACACGCTCACATTTATTATATATATACAGCTCGAGAGAGACGATGGACAACGAATTCAATGTATCATATATATATAATATAATATACTGCACGGGACGCGCACACATACGTTTTCGTTTCTCCACGGTGCGGATTATAATATGTATACCGCGGTTACAGTCGTAGATCATCAAGCGTATAATAGAAACAACCAAACGACAAAAAAAAAAAAAGGTCACCATAACTATATATATATGTGTGTCAGAACGTCGTCGAGATCCAGAGATAAATGTGTAATACGTATTTATATAACACATATATTATTACTATATATGGTGCACGTGGGGTACCTACAGCGGACCGCGAGTCGCCGACTTGCCGCTGCGAGCGACCCGATTATTATTTCGACAAAAGGCGTAAGGCATGACGAATTCGGCTCCAAAACTGTGTGTGAGGGGGTGCGGCGGTTTACGTGTCTTAAAAATGTCGACTGGGATTAGGTTTATTGGAAATCGCTGGCGAAGCGTATCGCGGTGGTGCCGTTCGGTAACCGGCAAAATCGTGTTTATATATACGCAGTGACGATATATTTTATAGGTACCTATATACAGTTTAAATACATAAATACGAGCATATACAGACACAATAATAAATCGCACAGTTTTTCGCGTTTAACGATATTATAACGACGACCAATAACCGTATATATAATATACATATTATATCGTGTATACAACAGTATACATAATATAATATAGTAGGTGCGCATATTATATATTGTGCTGTTCCGGGAATTTCGAGAAGGATAATACATAATACATAATACACCTATACAACGTCTCCCGCATACATACAGAGTTCAGCCTGCAGTGTTAATCATTAGCGGACAATCGATCGACATATTATTATAAATTTACATCAATTATTTACCCGGAGCTCTGAAGTGATTATATACCTTTTCAGAGAGCTGGTCGGTCTGTACGCCGTACAAATGAGCCCAATGTAAAGTGCTGGGCGAGTGGATTTCCAGCTATATTTCATTATTGCAATGAAGTTTACCCAAGCAGTGCGGCAGGGCTTAAAATGGCACAAAACAGCAAAGAGTGCTGTAATCTCAATAATATTTTGCATAGTTCATGCGTAATAATGCAAAGTATAAACAGCAAATTTAAATGATATTCTTATTTCTAAATATGCGTTAGTTTTATTACATAGTCACAACCTATATGGGGGGGAGGTTCCTTGTGTTTATTAGTTATTAAACCATAATGTGTTGCGGGGGTAAGTGACCGCCCGACGTCATATGAAAGTATACCAACAATTATGAAGAAATACCCTTTAAAGATTTGGTCTAACTTTTTAATTTTTTTTAGTTATGGGCAGTTTAATTATAGTTTTTTATCAAAACCAAACCTATCACGCATTTATTTATGTATCTTCAAAACTTTTCAACATTTCGACGTAATTTTTTTTCTATTTCAAACCTATTTAATTGTCCTATCAATCAACATACGCAATTAAACCAGAAATGTACAAATTATTTTTATTAAATTAAAAAAATAGAAAAAAGTTAAAAAGAAATTGTGTATTATTCCAAATAATTAATTATTTACTACGGGTTTTATGTTTTCTGTATTATTCTACTGAATTATACTATTTATACTGAATAATACGTAGATACCTTGAAAGTTTGGTTTTCATATATCTTCTGTTAATCGTCATTCGTCACAATCTTAGTTTTCTTAAGATCGAGTATCGAGTATCGGTCGTTAATTGGTCGTCAGTCGTTTAATTTTATACTAATTGGTAAAAACCAAACTTTTAAGAATTCTAGGTATAATATTCTAGAATAATACTAAAAACAAAAAACCCGTAGTAAATAATAATTTATTTGGAATAATACACAATTTCCTTTTAACATTTTTCTACTTTTTTAATTTAATAAAAATAATTTGAACATTTTTGGTTTAATTGCGTATGTTGGTTGATAGGACAATTAGCTTTAAAATAATAAAAAAATTACGTCAAAATGTTGAAAAGTTTTGAATATACATAAACAAATACGTGATAGGTTTGGTTTTAATAAAAAAAAAGTAAATTGCCCATAACTTAAAAAATAAAAAATTTAGACCAAATTAAAGGTTATTTCTTCATCAATTTTGGTATAATTTCATATAGCGTCGCGGGTGGTAATTTCCTCCCCGGAACACATAATTGTATATTGATACAATTCAATTTCTCATTTTTTTTAACCAATATTTAGCACCAATGTCTTCAGAATTTAAACTGTGTAAGTAATAAATAATGATACAAAAACAAAATATTTATCTTAAGTAAAAAGTACCTATGTTTTTGAATTAATACAATAATATACAAATAAATAATAATATAATAGAAATATTCAATAATCATTATTTAATTTAATTTCAAGTATATAATAAATTATAAATATATCGGTGACAAACATAATATAAAGTCCCAAGTACACGGCCATGATAAAAGGATAAGACGTATACTCCGTAATCTGTATAATAACATTTGTATCGATCTGATTTATTAGTATAACTTGAGACTAAAATTATTATAAGTACTGTTATTATAAGTACTGTTTTTTTCCTGCAAGTTAAAAAAAAAATTATATTTTGAAAATAAATCCCTAATATTATTTCCAACAGATGAAATTATTTTGATTCAATTATAACGGTTGTGTGCGTACCTGCAGCGTACCTTTTCAAGACAATTTTAAGGATTTCAGAAATAAGGGGACACTTCTGCGTCATTTTGCCACCTCTCAATGTTGACCCATTACTCATTAGTATAATATATAAGCATATTCTATGATATTGTTATATAATAATATAATACCCACACTTGTGTCTAATACACTACGACTACATAATACTTAATAACACTATATATTATGTAATTCCAGCGTTAAGACTTATGCGGCGTTCCCACGAGGCGTTAATCACGACACTACGACAGTGAACCACGCTTTCGTGAAATACACTTCTGTGTGAACGCATAGTCGTTAAACTTGCTTTCGTGAGGAACGGCGCACGACTCAAGCGTGGATAGATCAAACGTGTTTGATTTTCAGACTTCAGTCGTGAAATACAGTTCGTGAAGCCAAGATGTCGTCACAGCCACGTGGAATTAAGTTTAACGACAGTGAAACTACGCGTTTTTTAGAGTTATATTCTATGGAAAATTTGTTATATGATCCAAGTTTGGAGGAATACCGCGATAGAGATTTACGTGCCGCCGCAGCTATGAGAATAAGTCATGAATTAAATATTCCTGGATTTGGACCAAAAGAAGTTATATCAAAATTTAAAAATTTAAGAAGCTCTTTCTGTCAGGAGTTAAAAAAAATATCAGACAGTGCAAGGTCTGGAAAAGGTACAGATGACATATACAAGCCAAAAATATTTTGGTTTGATCAGATGAACAGTTTTATTCGTCCGTTTGTTCAACAGCGACCCACACAATCGAATCTGGTAATTACCTTTTTTTATAAAAATATATGGTATTCGGAAAAAAAGCCCCGGTAAAAAAAGCCCCGATATCAAAATACGGTAAAAAAAAGCCCCACCTATAGGAAAAAAAGCCCCATACTAACTAATTTAACAGTTTATTAATTTACAAAATATTAAACTAGTATTTTAGAATATTATATATTTTATGGTTATAGATATTATGTTAAAGTGTTGATAAATGTAGAGATTATGTTATGATTATATTTAATTATGTAAATCATAATAAAAAAGAATAATGTATTTGTTGGTGCGGGGCTTTTTTTTCCTAGATTCAAATATATATCGTTTATTTATGAAAAATAATTTTAAATACCTAGGTAATTTAAAAACGACATACGAGTATTAATTTAAATTAGTATGAATAATGCGTTGTTTTTAGTAACTATTTATAATATCTTATCTTATCTTCTATGAGTATTGTGTAAAAAATCGTAATCGAATCAACGTAAATATTATATTTATCATCCACACGATTGTAAATAAAAATAAATGTACAATATGTATAGATTTATTATTAGTTATTTATTACAGTTCATTTGACACATCAATTATTTGGTTTTGCCAGGGAACAGCTCCTTCGTTATTAAAATAATCACGATATTTATTCCGTATTTGTTGTGCCTCCATATTAGGATGTCTGTGATTAGTTGCTGGTAGATTCTGTAATCCACTATTATTATTTTGACGCCATGATCCAGGGAAAACTCGGTGGTCCTCATCCTCATAATTTCATAATCAATTATATCCCCCGTCACATACCGAGGGTTTGTTTTTTTCAACCAATTATGAATTGCGCAGCATGCGAGGACAACTTTGTCTAACGTTTCTAATTTTAATGAAATTGGTTTTTCAAACAATCTAAATTTACTCGCGAGTATGCCAAAGGCATTTTCCACTACACGTCTTGCTCTTGACAATCGATAATTGTAAATCCTTTCTGCAGGGGTTAAATTGCGTCGACTGTAGGGTTTCATTATATACTTTTTTAACGGAAATGCATATCAGCCAAAATAACGAAATTGTTTGGTATGGCTAGTGAGTTTGTTTCTAAAGCGTTGTACAAGGAGCTATTTTGAAAAATTCCTCCATCTGATCCTCTTCCTTTCGCTCCAACATCAACATATAAAAAACAATAGTCGGAATCCACTAAGGCCATTAACACAATACTATAACTGTTTTTATAATAAAAATAATCTGAACCACTTCCGGGAGGAGCTCGTATGACAACATGCTTACCTTCTAGAGCCCCTACACAACCAGGAAAATTCCATCGCGTTCTAAAACCATATTCAATGTTTTTCCACTCATCTGATGTTGCAGGGACCTGAAACATTATATTATTAAAATTTGAATAAACTAATAATATTAACACATTATTATTTATATTTTAGAAACTTCCTATAGAAAATTCCTCAGAGGCCTCAATAGAAAATAGTCTACAATCAGAACCTAACTTTGAATACAGTACTAGCCAAAACTCTGAAGACGTGACACAGATTGCATCGAAAATTGATACACCTGCGAAGATAATCAAAAGAAAGATTGAACCACAACCATCAACATCAAAAAATAAAAAATCTATTCGTGATCATGAAATAGGATTTATGACAAGTGCTATTGACAAATTACATGAAATTTCAAATCGCGCATCACAAGTCGCTACAAATAAAGATGATAGTTATGATCATTTCGGGAAATATATCGCATCAATGTTAAGAATTATAGGACCACCAACAGCAATACGATTACAACAAAACTTCATGAATGAAATTACAAATGCTATGTGCCCACCAGAAAATGTTATTACTGATAATTGAACGGCTGGAACATCAAGTGGAAGACAATCAAATTTAAGTACTTTTTCGGCTAGTAATGATGACGACTACATGACATTCTTAACAGATTTATAATTAAACAAATTTTATAATTATAATTATTATTATAATTAAACAAATAAAAGTTCACTATTATTAATAATTTTATTGTTATTATTATTATTTTATTTGTAATCTATACACCTATGACCTAATACGGGCACAATATTATTTTTGTTTTTTTAATAATTAAGTAATCAATTTTTAAATTTTAAATTTTTAGGTACTTACTTGTATGAATTCTGCTAGTTCATTGTATATTGCTTCACAGGTTTCTGGAATAAATTTACTTATTGTGTTTTTTGGAACACGGAACAAAAATTCTAAGCTTTTGAAGGAATCACTTGTAGCTAAATACCGTAAAGTCACATCTAATTTTGTTTTTGCATTAATTGCTTGTCTCATGTTAGTGTCAGATTTTGCAATAATATTTGTAACACGCAATAAGAGGTATTCAAACTGGCATTCAGTCATTCGCAATAGGTTTCTAAAATCTTCTGGAAAATTGCTTTTTAATTCCATACTAACCAAGTTCGACGCTCCTAACATATTTCTTCGCTGTATCCATTCTCTAACCCAAACACGTCTTTTTTTCGTTTTCTTGTGTCCTGTAAGCGCTTCATCTTTTTTGCTAAGATAGTAGCAAAAAACGAACTTAAAACAGCACAACTTTCAACAACCAGATCATTCATGATCGATGTTTCGATACTGACTAAGTCGAAACACGAGGCGTGAACGGCACGAACTCCCCCAACCGTGTGAACGTTTCATCAATTCACACTTTCGTGAGTGTCACGAACGAAAGTTGACTAGCGTGGTTCACTGTCGTGATTAACGCCTCGTGGGAACGCCGCATTTAGGTTATATTACCTACCTACCTCTATATATTTTAACCTCGGTGAGTTATTATATATCAGCCATTCTTCCCGGCGAATCGCTCGTCTCAATCGTAAAATACGGCGCACACCGAATGTAAAACACTCGGAGTAAATAAAGCCCTAATTCGGAGAAAAAACACCATCGGAACATCAGATATTATACGCATTTAAAATTTTAAGGATTTTTGGACGTCTCATATTCTCGCGTCCCGACAATTAACCGACTTTTCCCGTGTTTTTTATATTCGAATGATTTCTTAAGACGATTTAATGTATTTGTGAGCGCACTGATACCTACGACGGGTACAATACTGTATCTGCAGGTGTAATAGCGTTGAATACAATTTCAACAATTTTAATATTGCCATGGCACACAGATCCACTTACCTGCAGGCTGCAGCCGTGTTGTATACATATTACCTGGGGGCTGCAGCAGCAGCAGCAGTCTCACGGAGTTTCGTTTCGGTTCAAGGCTCGGGAAATCTTCGGAAAGGCTCGTGGGCATGATTCCATACAATTCGTATTTTGTTTTCGTGAACCATATAATATATATTATATTATTATATACCGTCATCGATTAATTAAACCTACTCCGTATTCGGTGACTGTATATATAGTACACAGGCGTCTTTTTGAGAAAGACATACCTAATATTTGAAATTCACCAAGTCGGAAAACGATACAAGAGTTCCGAGTAAAACGCCTAGCAATGACTTTGAACCGTTTGCAACGCTGTTGGCAATAACAATATCATATACACACAATAATAATAATATAATAACTACGTCTATGTTGTTTAAGTCCTCAGTACACGTAAGCATATAGGCATATAGCTATACCCATAAAAAAAACTTTTCGTTTACCAGTTACCACGTTGTTTTACAATTTTCCGTCATATCACTCCGGGTCATTTTTTTATTCTCTTTCAACTTTCAATTTGGAATGATGTAGTTTAGACTTTTTTAACTGCAGTGATTAATTTCTTTCGAATACAAAATATAAGTCGCTAAATGTATAAGCCTGAGAAGCGGTTGGAAAAAAGAAATTTGTATCTTATGGATGAGCAGAAAACATTGGTGCACACAGCAAAATTTTACTATTAATTTGAATATGATTATCAATATAAGTTATTTAAATTTCCCCACATTAATAGCAGTAATTATAAATATACCTACTACCTAGTTATATATGATATATTATGTAAGACTCCAAAACAATACATAAATGCATGTGTCAATAACCCATTTTCGAATTTGAATAATAACTAGGACAGGGAGTGTAAAAATGAACCTATAAAATGCACTTGATTTTTTTTATTTCAAATAAGTTTGAACGAAAAAATAATACAAATTTATTCACACGTGTTTAGTGTATGAGGAATGAGGATAATGTGAATACTGACGAGTGACGGGTACCGTCACAAATCAATATCGATTTCATAGTTTCTAGACATACATTATTGAGCGTTGAATTAAAGTGATTCTAAATATTTATTACCAATTTCGACATCGTACGCTAAACTACTATTTTCCGATTAATAAATAATAATGGATTATGTTATTTGTATTATATACCTACTTATATAAAAACCTTGTTATAACTTATCACATACAAATCATAAAATAAAATTTAAAAAAAATAGGATTCAAAGTGTAAATGCCCTAAAAATGAGCATAAAATAAAAAAGATGGGTAAATGGATGTCGCTATGCTGTGCAGTATTAAATTTGAATTCAATGATTCACCTGCATCAGGTGTAATGATTCTGAGCAGAGACGGTTTGTCACTTGTCAGTGTATATTTTATAATATATTTACATTGTTATTACTTATTATTGTTACGGTAGCCGGTATGTTGAGTTAATATTATTATAAAATTGCAACAAAATAAGTAAAATCGTTATTTAATATATAATTTCGTCAAATTTCAACATAAAACAACTATAAAAAAAAAAACTGTGCTTTTATAATTTTGAGATTTTTTGGTTACAAAATAACCTACTTACGTGGAACTTTGTTTTAAATGTCCGATCCTTACCTATACAATTTAAACCTTTTATACATTTTTAACCACAAAATCATCTTTAAATTTTAAATTTGATAAATTTTGTCAAAATTCAAACTTTAAATACTAGTAAAAAAAAAAATGCTTATGTATTTTTAATATTTTAATATTTTTACAACAAAAAATTTCAAAAATAAAACACATCATTGTAAAATCAATACATTCGCCCCGCTCAAAATCTAAAATGATCTTAGACTTACTTTTTGATTATTAAACAACAAAAAAATGTTATATGCTTATAGCTTATATATAAGTAGATATACACCCAAAATATCAAAATAGGTGTATACCTGTCTAACAATTACTGCAGGAGTTGAGAATCCACTATTTTGGTAATCCATTTCTTTTCGGAGAGAGTTGGCTTTGGCGTAGACATGGAGAAGCCCTAGTTCTAAGTAGGTATGAAAATAACGAGAATGAAAGAGATAAACAACAACAACTGAACAATCTCAACCACGAGAAGCTCGAAACACAAGTAGTGAAAATATAGTCACTTGGGTTAAGACTTAAGACTTTTAGAATTTTATAAGTGTAATATTATTTTTTAGACATCTGCAGCAAAGACCAACGTCAGTCAGTGCCCAGTTACAGTACGGTAAGCGCAGAGCGTCCTGTGGGCAGTGTTGTAAAGTATTTGAGTAAAAGTATTCAAATACTTTTTTCCGTATTGAATACTTTTTATTTTGAAGTATTTGAATGGTATTTGAAATACTTTTTTTTCTATTGAATACTATTTTATTGAATACTTATTTTTTATTCTTTTAATATTCTTAATTTGTTTCTACTTATAAATATTCTTGTTAAATAAAATCACACACAGACAATTTGGTATCGGTTTTTGTCGATTAAATGTTTATTTTCTCCAGGAGACAGTTTATTGTCGACGAAGATCGAAAAGATACATTTGTAGTCGGTATTAGCTTAAGTCAATAACAAAATATATAATATGTAAAAAGCTTCTGCTTATCGGCTATTATACTTTATAGTTTATAATTATTTAACTATACGAAAATATTATTACTAGGTAATTATTAGTACCTACCTATACTACCTATTTACCAAGACAATTTGTATCAATAATTATCATTATCGTTTAATCGTCGACGATGGTATGAGATATCCAAATACATATTATAGTTTTGAATTAATATATAACTTTGTAGAGAAAAGTTCATTGTTGTGGTGCAACTAACATGACTGATCAGAATTTTGATTATTGAACAAATCATGTTTTTAAAATGCAATTAACAAATTTTTGATTATTAAAAATTATTTCAGAACTAAAAAGTAAAAATAATTTTTATTTCAAATACTTTACTGTTTATAGTATTTGGGTAGTATTTTAAATACTTTATTTTAAGAGTATTTGAGTAATTACTAAAATACTTTTAAAAAGTATTTTTTACAACATTGCCTGCGGATTTGGCTTCCCCAAAATCCAAAACGGAATAACCAATGCTATAGATTTTATAATAATGAGATATAACTATTTGATTATATTTTTGAACTTATAAATAAGTGATAATATTATAATTGCAGGCGGCAGCTGCGGGTTAAGGTGTAAACAAGATTATTTCAATACAAAAATAATTAACATCGCTTGAATGTTAATTTGTAGCAGTAGCATTATATATATATGACATTTTTAACATTTAAATAATGTTATTTAATGATATATTAGATATTAATTTTATGGAACAATTATTCAATATTGCATTATTGTTACCTGGTAATATTTTTACTTAACATCAAATCATTCTAATTTTTAAACAAACTTGATCTGCTGAGCTTACATTGCTTACCTAAATTTTTATTTCGTATAATTGAAATGTCTTGAATATTTATATATATTATATAACTGTGTAAGTGTTTTTTGGACACACAGTATATTTTTTACCATTCCCACTTCATGAAATGGATAACTTTTCATGAATAGATCGATTTTGTATACGAATAGTTATACTGTTTCCGATCAGAAATCAAAATTATAATTTATATTATAATAAATAAATATTAAGTACTTGTGACTATTTAAAGTATCCAACTGATACTTTAATTTTACAGTAATATCTAGATAAATTTGTTACTTGGGGTCGTCAAAATTACCTCCCACCAAATATGAATAAATGTAGTGTTATTACTTTTTCTAGTCTAAATCATGTAATTACTTATAATTATAAAATTGATAATTTTAGTGTATTACATATTAATACTTTAGTTGATATCATTTAAGATGTTAGGATTCATAAACAGGAATACGATTAATTTTAAAAATATTAACACATTTAAAACATTATGTTATTTAATTTCACTGATTTATTTGTAAAAATGAGATTCTACTCACTATACTATTATTACTAAAGGGTATCTGTCTACCTACCCGTTTATAAATAAATACATATTTATATAACAATATAATATAACATATTATATTAATAAAGTAGGTATGTAGGTAGCTATTTATCAATATTATAACTTATAATGATAATGTAATAATAAAATAATTATCATTCAAATTTTATATTTTTATTATTATTAATTATTATTTTTGACAGCTGTATCCAACAGTTAGGTAGGTATAGCTTTGACGATTTTTTATCGAGGGGTT